TTTTAGGGAAAAATATGTGCAATAGAAATTGTTCATAGAATTTAAATGCAAATATTTGTAAGATTTAACAACTAGAGAAAAATCTGGAAGGAATATATATTTATATTCAAAATGACTATAGACTAGATATCGATAAATTATTTCATTCTGTGACAGAAATAAATAGTTTGGGATACTGTTCTTTTTGAGATAAGTCTACATTTCAAAATGATGTGCTTAATAATAACTTGAAAATGTAAGCTAATCAGTCTTAGAAAGTCTTTAGTCTTCAAGATCTGAAGCATATATTCAGAGCTCCTTCTGATATATAAATGCTTTTTTGTATTATTGTCTAGAAAAAAGATGATTAAAAACAAGAAAAATATTACAGACATTTTTAAGCATTGTATTAAACCTTAACCACACAGACTTTTAATATCCATCTGACTTTTCATTATGCTAATCGATAGACTATGAGCACAATGTGAACCCGATTGTATATTGGGGCAGCAGTATTTATCCATCATAAAAAATGTTTGTTTTTTATTTTTTTGCTCAGGAACCACAATTCTTCTTAAACTGACAAATTCCAAATCTTTGATATATAATTCATAGTGTTGCATCTTTAAATCGTATTTTCATTTCCCCAAATCACATTGACTATCTAAATGAATATTAAACCTAAATAGATAATTCTGGGGCAATCCCGTATTATATTGTGGTACTCCCACAATCATTTTGTACTTCTGTCATAACAAAGTTGAAGCCAGCCCTTTAGAAATATTTTCTGAGGTTGCCAATAGACATGAAACAAATCTTTTTTCTGAATTAACCTTATTTTAAGATCATATATGTTCAATATATTGAATATTTTAAAAAGTGATTGAATGGTTTCCAGTATCTGGAATCTAGAGAATTCCAGATACTGCTCGTGCTTCTAAAACAAATTAAGAAATCAAACATTTTTTATATCAGTGTGTGTGTATGTGAATACATAAACATACACACACACACACACACACACACACACACACACACACACACACACACACAC